CTGGTAATGTAATATCTTTCTTTTTCAATCAAAATCCTTACAATAGAGAGCCTTGAGAAAGGAACTGTGGGTAAGTCTACCTGTAAAGGTTTTCCAAGGATAGTCCCGATTGCATATAAGATAGGTAGGTCAAAGAATTGAAGCTTGAGTTCAGGTAATGAAAATCAGATAGGTGCAATTGGGGGTTCTTGACTGGGATCAAAATTAGGGGTCCATTTGAGCAATTTCATATGTTTGCCCTCGATTGTGATGATTCTTTTTGAGAAAATCATTGTGTAGTTAATCATCTTCTATGCTCAGTTATATCATAACATGTCTTCCGTTGAAATGATTCACCTGTCAATCTCCAACCAGTTATAATTTTCAAAAATCTTCCTGATAATCTTCATCTTAGGGCAACCTAATTGGAACCTTCCAACTAGTGTAAATTTGTATTTTCTTGCACGAGTTGACATTTCAGCGTCAGAGAAAAAGGTGGGCAAAAAATAAGAGAAGAAAATTGTTGGTTTGCCCACCTTTTTCTCTACTTTTTTTGATGAGATTGCAATCTTCATGTTTTGCAAACAACAGAATCATGGTACATCTGCGAGAATATCGGACTATCTGCGAGGTGGAAAGGGAAGCTGTGTTTGTGAACCACTGTAACATAGAAGGGTTTGACGGGGTTATCACCAGCAAGCGCAGCAACGTAGGAAAGCCCTAAGGCCATTAGTGTGCTTCACACAAGCACTGCAACGACTGCCGCCTACAAAGGGATGCAAGCTGTCGAGCAGGTCGAGCAGAAATTCTGGCAGAGTAGTCGAGCTGAACTTTGGCGTAGCAGTCGAGCGGAACTCTGGGGGAGCAGTCACGAAGCGCCGCAAACGAGTAGTTTCCTCCGCAGACGACGAAATGGCGAAGTGCCGCAAACGCGAGCCGCATGCGACGCAGCAGACGAGCAGGCTGCCGAGCGGGCTCGAAGCAGCGCGAGCTCCTCTGCCAGCCAGAGCCAATGACGAAGACAGAAAGGAACAAAAGGAACAAAAAAACAGCCATTTGTTTCGAGCTAGGGCATGTGAAAAACCCTATATAGGCAGTTGCACTTATTAAATGTGTAGTCTCAAAGCATGTGTCTATATATATATATATATATATTATATATATATTTCTCTTCCTTCAGTTGCTCCAGTAATTCAACTAATCTTAACACTAAATGTTTTGTCATCAAGCACTGAATGCAACTAGAACAATTCATGTGAAAGATCAAATTTTTTGGTGATCCTGTTCCATAGGCAGGGAATTATCGGATTAAAAAAAGTACATGCCTTAGAGATTAACATTAAAAGATAACTTCACTATTGACATGCTGCCTGGAAAAACCAGTTCGGGAAATAGAGAAAGTAGATCCTCTTATAAAATATTTTAATTGACAGAATTCTTTATCAAGCAAAATATGGAAAGTAAAATCAAAAACTGTCCTGAATAAAATGCTGAATATCAAACAAATTATTAAAAGGAAAATATTTTAATAAAAGACAAAAAAAAAATTGCCACGTTACAATACTGAAGGGTACCATTTGAATAGAAGTTCGAAAAGATATTTTCCTAATGAAATGCGTCGTTCAATTTTCTGGATTACAGGAACCTTAGTCAAATAGAAAAGATAATGCATAATTCACTCAATTTTGAAATGTAAAAATATTCTTATAAAGTCGATAGGTGAATAACACGACATCTAGATAAAGGCATTGAGGGAAAAGGTATGAATAAATCTATGCCATGAAAAAATTTATGACGTTATGAAAACACCACAAGCTAGGAAGAAAAAGTTAGTTGCCAGAGAACTGGGAAGTGATTCTTCCCCAAAAAGACATCAACAATTCTTAAATATTTAACTTGAGCTCATCCTCCAATGTCACATTTGGAGTAATTAACACTCATGTCCCTATGAATTATTTGTAGAAGCAAAAATATACATATGTATGATCAACCATAACTATAAATAATATATGTGACCATAAAATGCAATATATATTAAAACTACGGACAGATGCTTCTCCACCTAAAAGGAGAATCACCGCCTTTCACCCTTCTAAATTTAACGTGACCATAAAATGTAACATCAAATCCATTCCATCTCATAAAACTCATTAAGGCATTAACGCTAGTAGAGAATAAGATTTTAGAAAATTTGAAGTTTGTTTAATAATTAATTAGATATATCCAGATTTTCTTAATGAACAGCTATGAAGTATAAGAAAATATTTGTGATTACAATGTGTAAATATCTGAGAAACAGATAAAGATGCTAATTAAATTTAGATTGCAGAAGGTGAACGATCCGAGATAAGTGGTAATGTTGCCTATAGTATATTTTTGAGGTATAGGATTAGAATTTAAGAAAAAGAACAATCCAATTGCAAATGAAAGAATAAAGTAGAGCTATCAACTATTTCACAATTTTTA